CTCTTTCAGTTCAACCTTTTTTAAAACTTTTAAAGATAGGATCTCTACTTCTACTGACAATATAACTTTCATTCCATAAATAAAAGAAAATGTGGTTGCCCCAGTAGAGATACGCATCGATGTTCGATATGCATGTTACGTAAATGGCAACTTCTCATGTCAATCTTTATAGGTCTCAATTATTTTTCTCAAGAAGTATATTCTTGTTTGCTGTCTCAACTACCTCATTCATTTTCAGATGGTATGGCATTGAATTATGATGCTTGATCTTGTACTAGGTACATATTTCCTGCATCATCTTACTATTTAGATTCTTGATATTATCTGAAATAATTTTTTTTGAAAGTCCATATCTATAAATAATCTATCTATTTATGAACTTACAAATTATAGATTATGTCACACTTCCAAATGATGCTGCTTTCATCTATTTTGTGAAATAATCTATCATCATGAAAATGAACCTATACCCATTAGAAGCCTTTGGGGTAATAGGACCAATGACATATATGCTCCATATAGAGAATGGACAGGGTGGTGCCAAAACATATAAAATAGATGACAGAGCATGGATCTTATCAGCATAGATCTAACACTTGTGATATTTTTTAGCATAGTTAATACAATCGTTCTTCATTGTTAACCAATAGTACCCAGCTCTCATGATATGTCTTGTCATCATATGTCTATTGGCATGTGCCCTACATATTTTATCATGCATCTCTTTAATAATTTTTTTTACCTCGACCTTATTTACACATCTTAATAATACTTTATCATAGCTCTTTTTATACAAAACATCTCCATCTAGGAAGAAACTCATTGGTAGTCTTCGGATGATCTTTTTATCATTTTTAGTTACTTAAATGGGGTATTGATGGTTTTTAATATACTACAAGATATCATAATACCAAGGCTTCCCATTTTCTTTCTCTTCTACATTAGAGCAATGAGCTGACACATCATTGACATCTAGTTTGATGGGTCGAATATCGATATTATCACTAATTTGAACCATTGCTACTAAAATAGCCAATGCATCGATAATCAGATTCTTCTCTAAAGGTAAATGATCAAACTAAATATCTTCAAACTGTTTGATCAACTCTATGATATACTTATGATATCTTCAAACTGAATATAGACTTTTTGATTTAAATACTAATGTTATTGTCGAATATATTCATATAAAATTTTTTAAAAATAAGTTTATATGTGATACTGAAATTGATATGGAGAAACAAATTGAAATGATTCTATTGAACTTAGAAAGAGTAAAAAATTAAAAAGAGAACCTTTTGCCTTTCAATTTTGTTTCTCTAGATTTTATAATATTCCTAATACAAGAAAATAAAACCAAAGTACTTAATAAAACACCAATTCTAGTAAATGTAAATGAAAGACCTTAAAACATTTAATGAAGCTATGACTTCAAGAGATGTTGCTTTTTAGAAAGAGACTATTAATGATGAAAAGGACTCAATCATGTCCAATAATACATGGGTCTTGGTAAATTTACCTCTAGATTCTAAACTTATAGGATGTAAATGAGTATCTAGAAAGAAATATAATATAGATAGTTCTGTACAAATCTTTAAAGCAAGATTAGCTGTAAAAAGTTTTAAACAAAAGAAAGGCATAGATTATTTTGATACATATGCTTCAATAACTAGAATAACATCCATTAGAGTTCTTATAGCTTTGGCTTCCATTTATAAATTACATGTACATCAAATGGATATTAAGATAGCCTTTTTAAATGGTGACTTAAAAGAAAAAGTATACATGGAACAACCAAAAGGCTTTATTCTTTCAGGTAATGAGAATAAAGTTTGTAAATTAATTAAGTCATTTTATGGGCTAAAGTAACCTCCTAAACAATGGCATGAAAAGTTTGATTCAACCATAGTAACCAATGGTTTTAAACATAATGGAGCAAATAAGTGCATTTACTCAAAATTTACTAAAGAATATAGAGTTATAATATATCTTTATATGGATGATATGCTAATTTTTAGTACTAATATGATTGGCATAAATGAAACCAAAAGGTATCTGATTTCTAATTTTAAAACAAAAGATTTGAATGAAGTTGATACCATTTTGAGAATCAAAGTTAAGAGATATAACAAGGGTTTCGTACTTAATCAAAGTCATTATATTGAGAAACTACTTAATAAGTTTAAATATTTTAATATAAAAGAAGCCAATACTCCATATGATATACGTATAAAATTAACAAAAAATTAAGGTTATTTAATTGCACAACTTGAATATGCTAGTGCTATTGGATGTGTTATGTATGCTATGCATTATACTAAGCTAGATATAGTTTTTGTTGTTTGCAAGTTATCAAGATATACAATTAAGTCTAATATAAGTCATTGGAAAGCCATAGGAAAAGTTTTAGGTTATCTTAAAAGAACTAAAGATTTTGGCTTATTTTATTTCGGATAGCTAGCTATTTTGAAAGGATATTCAAATGCAAGTTGGATCACTAGTATAAGTAATAATAAATCCACTTCAAAATGGATGTTTACCCATGAATGTGGTGCAATTAGTTAGCCATCGAAGAAACAAACTTACATTTTACATTAAACTATGGAATCTGAATTTATAGCTTTAGCTGCAGCAGGCAAGGAAATTGAATGGCTAGGAAATTTATTAATAGATATAGAGTTGTGGCCACAACTAATGATAGCCATTTTCTTGTATTGTGATAATGAAGCTACTATGTCTAAAGCTTACAGTGACATTTATAATAAAAAATCTAGACATATTAGTCTAAGACATAATTATATCAAAGAATTGATAAAAAATGGGGTGAGTACCGTAATATATGTTAAATCTGCTAACAATTTAACAGATCTTTTACCAAAGCATTACCTAGAAATTTGGTAAGAAGCACCACAAGTGGAATGGGTTTAAAATTTCTTTTAAACACCAATAATGAGAACTTAACTTTGAATTAATAACCTCTAATTGTAAAGTTTAATAGGTAACAACAAGTTATTATTATGTGTCTATAAACACTAGTCAACTTATTCTAAATATTTAGAATACTAGTGTAAAACATTGTGTAGAATGAAGGATGAGATTAAACTCTTAATGGAGTTTATAATTAAATGTCTATAGCAATTGAGACATAAACAAGAAATTTCACCTATATAAACATAGAAGCGATGCCGCTTCAACAAGAAAATTGAAAACTTTCTTGTAAATGTTTATGAATAAAGATAAGCACATAGCCATAATAGTGCTAAAGTAGTTATAAACCTCTGACAAAATATTAAATAAGTATTATGTGTGTTATATCTTCAATTTTAATACTAAAAGTTGAGGTTTAATATGCAAATACTACCAACTTTGTTGGAATTCTAAGGTATATGCTAAATGAAAGTTTAAATCGAAAGATACATTCTTATATTTATAATATTTATTTGTATAAAAGATTAAAGATTAAGCACCAGTATTTCAAACTATGAGGGGATTGTTGGTAGTTTAGAATGTGGTGTATCCCACATTGAGTAGAAATATCATTTATATGTGATTTAAAAGAGATTACTTATGTTATTTAAGTAATTGAGATAAGTGTTGGAGTGGGTAAAGTCATTTGGGCTTGCTAGGAGTTTTTCTAGTGGGTCAAACAATTTTAAAAATCAAATATAGGCACTTAAACACTTGAAAATTTTGAGCTTATTTGGCAAATAGATTTAATTTTTAAATCTTTTAATTTTTTTATTTTGAAATATTACTGATTATGAATAAACATGTTTGAATAGAAAAAATATGATGATCTGAATAAATATATCTGAATAGAAAAACATGACTATTTAAATAAAGTTTATTTAAACAAGAAAATATGACTATATAGAATGTCATAACTTTTTAAATTTGTTTGATTGGTAATTATTCATTTATTATAAATAGATCTCTCTGCCTAATTAATTTCAGTACTTTTGATTTATAGAATTTTTAAGGTTTTGTTATATTCTATAAGCATAATTATCTTTTAAGATAGTGTTCTTCATACTTCAAAGCCATATTTTCTTCTTTCTTATTATTTTTGTTTTTTTTAATTTTCTAACAGCTTAGTCTTGTAAACAGCTAAAAGAATCTTGACATTGGAGACATTATTTGGTGAATAGGATTTTATGAAATAATATTTCATTTTTTTTTAGTTGTATTAGGTTTATTTGTTATTTAATTGGTTTATAAATATTAAATTTACTTGAAAATATTATTTGATTTTAAAATTTTTTAATGATTATGAAAAAGACTGCTTATTGCTTTGAAAGTTTATTTTAAGATAATACGACTGTATAATATCTCGATATCAGGACTTGACATTCAAAACTAATTTATAATTACAATTATGTAACTTAATATTTCAAGTTAAACAAAAAGTTCGATTGAATAATTACAACGTTTTAAATTATTTTAAAACTTAATTATTCTAATTCTAATGAGTTATACTCTTTTAGTCAATTTTTTTATTATTTGAAATATCTTAAAATTATTTTTTGAACATTTAATCACTTATATTTTAAAATTAATTTTTTACTTTTTGAAAATAAAATTTATGGAAAATCAATTTTTTTAAAAAAACAAAAATAAAAAAATCTTAAACTCTTAAAAATTTTAAAAGGACTAACTATTTGAGATAAAGATAGCATGCTTTAATTCCAAAATATAAGAGCTAGGGTAACAGTGCTTATAGGGATAGATTAAAAATAGTTAAAAGGCATTTTTAAAAAATTAATGAAAAGTTTTTTTTTTTATCAAATTCAAAAATTTATATAGTATAATTTTTTTCTTCTTGAATGCGACAATCATCCGTATCTATTGACAGTTGTCGACATTCCCCAGCATAAAATTATCCAAAACCATATTTTTCATTGGATGAAGTCAACAACTGCAAATGAGAACAATTAGTATGCTTCTCATCAACTATGGCTAAAGATGCACTAAATCGAAGCTAAATTCTTGGCCCAACTTTAATGCACAATTCTAATGAAATTAGTTAGGGCATCACATCAATTGGCCTTGGTCCCCCCACACGCTCACACGAAACCAAAGTGGACCTATTGCTTTGTTTCTTCACGACTCCCAATGCTCACACAAAAGTTAACGGCGTTAACTTTGACAGACAAGTCAGTCAACCAAGTCAAAAGCAAGTCTTTAGCACCTTGAAACTCGCAGCCAATTAGAACTCAGACAGGCTAAAAAATCAAAAGTCAAACCCATTTCTGTCCAATCAAATATGGCTGTTTTGTACAATACAACAGTCTTTGGGGGATTTTGAAGCACTGTTAGGAAAAGCTAACGTTAGGGGATGTCTCTGTGCTTTTGTCAATGTCAAGAGAGAGAGAGAGAGAGAGAGAGAGTGAAGTGGGTTTTGTCTGTATTCCATAAGGGGTGCGAATGTTGGAAGCTAAGGAAGCAAAGCAAAAGGCATGGCTGAAAATGGCGGCACCGCTTCACCATAATATTGCCAACTTTTTATATATAAGCAGCAAACAACAGTGGCTTGGCTTGAGAAGTGTAAAGAGGGACAAAGGGGATTGATTTGCAGGGTCGTGTAAGAATTTTTATTCAAAAAAGAGTGAAAGTAGCTTGGGATTTTAAGGTTGTCTTGTTCTGGGTTATTTTAGATGGGAAAAGTGGCATTTTGATGACATGGGTACCAGGAATAATGCTTTTGTGGATAAAGAGAAAGGGTTCGGAAGATCACCAGACCAGTGTGATGTTGGGTTGGGTTTGAGGATGCAGCAACAAGTTGATGAATCTTGTCCAAATAAGAGCTTCATGCCAATGCCCCATCATCAACATCATCATCATCTTCATAATTCTTCTCATCATCAGCTTTCATCTTCTTCATGTTGTGGTGATGGATTTGATGGAGGAGCTTGTGGTGGTGGGCCCATTGTTTGCAACACAAGCAACCAGGTACCATGCACGGGCGATATATACGATGTTATAAGTGCTGCTTCTGCTTCTGTTTCTGCTGCTGCAGTGGTGTTAAAGTCACTGCACCATCACCCCTTTAACGCCAACCCTTCTTTTCCCCACAACTCCTCTGGTAAACTCCTCTGCTTTCTTCATTCATCCTTTTTCTTGTAATTTTCAATGAAGTAATTAAAGAGTATAGATTAATGACATATGTTGTTTAAACTTAGTTAATGTAGGAGAAATTGCAGCGCCTGTGAATGCTAGAGTTCCTTTTACAGCAGCTCAGTGGCAAGAGCTGGAGAGGCAGACTATGATATACAAGTACATGATGGCCACTGTCCCTGTCCCTCCTGAACTCCTTATATCTCTCACCAGAAACTCTTCAAATGGTAGTCTTTTCTTTTTCTGCCTTTGTTTAGTGTTATCAATGTAAACGTAGTGTCAAGTTGTTAGCCTTTTTTTTTTGCATTAATTACAAAATGGCGCATGCAATTTTCTTGGTGCTGATAGTGACAAAGGGGTCTTTGGAATTGGGTTTTTCGAGCAATATTAGCTCGGATCCGGAGCCTTGGAGGTGCAGAAGAACAGATGGGAAGAAATGGAGATGCTCGAGAGACGTGGCTCCTGATCAAAAATACTGTGAGCGTCACTCTCATAAGAGCCGTCCCCGTTCAAGAAAGCCTGTGGAATTGCCAAACCACACCATCAACAAACATGATCAGAAATCACATACACTTAACATGGCATCAGATAGCAGCAAACAGGCTCATAAGAATTCCCATTTCATCAATCAGACCGATCCTCATCTATTCACAGCTTCATTTGATCAACCCAGGTGGGCCTCGGGTTCCCAATGGGTTCCCAATACTCTATCTTCTCTGAATCTGATAAACATAAACCAAACTTCTATTTCCCGTTATTTTCTTACATACTAGTATATCTCTTATTCTACTAATCACAATCTGAGTATAAATGCATGACGTGGATTGTTTGTCTTATATAAGTTACTATTATAATAAGTGGTGGTTAATGGTTTATCCGTGAAGGTGCTTGGAGTGGTTCATGAAAGGGGAGACTACCGTTCCTATTGCTAGCATTTCTAACCCAGACTGGCAACACCAGCAGCATCATAAAGACCATCGCGTCAATTTGCAAGCTCATCAGAATCTAAATGAGCAGTTTAACACCAGTTTAGCATCTTTGGGAGGAACCTTGAATCTCAACCAAACACATTCACAAGAGACAAGGAGCTTTATTGATGCATGGTCAATAGCAGAGAGAGAGGTTGCTGAAATGGATGGAATTGAGAGCAAACGCCCTGTTTCTTCAAACGAGAAGCTACCACTCTCTTCTCTTACACTGTCAATGTCGGGTGGGAATGGAAACCATCAAGAAGAAGACAATGAGAATAGCGAAATGGGTGCTTTTGGTATCATGGGCTTAGCGAAGGAAAATGTGAGGACTTTGAGACCACCCCAAATGGCGGATCCTATTTCATGGATGGGTTCGCCGCCTGGTGGACCACTGGCTGAAGCATTGTGCCTTGGCATTGCAAGTAGTCAAAGCACAAATACGAGTAGCTGCAGCAAGAGCACCTGAGACGATGGCCAGTGACTAAATTTTATCTACTTATTGATAAGAGCTTTTTAACTTTCATGATGTTTGAACATTTCTATGTCGAACATGGGGTTTTTAAATTAAATAAAATAAAATGTTACTGCTAAATGGAAATTTCCACTTTGTTTTTGGAGCTAAGAGAAAGCCCAAACTTTAGGACTGCGATGATTGTTGAATGCCCTTGTCTCTTTATGGTTTTGGAAAAGGGGCATGCTTTCGTCTCTATGCTTTTGAATTGAAGTGTAAAAATATGCGATGTTTAATTTCCATTAAAATCAATACTATCATTTATCATCAGAAGCTTTGCAGAAGGAACATGTAAACAATCTATTACTCGTCTTTTTATAGCTCATAGAAAGTACAGTACTATTCATGAATAAGGACTATATTAATTATTGTCTATTGATGTTTCCCTATGTCAATGGACATGAGAGGGAAACTTTGCTTGATTTAACCTTTTTCTTTAAAAAAAAAAAAAAAGACAAAAGCACGTTTCCATCAATTCAGAAGCAGAATTAATTACCACCATTGACACAAACTGAAGTCTGAATCTTCAAAAATGAAAGAGAAAATTTCATTGATTTTGGGATCTAAATTTGTTCTAATTTTGGGCTTTTCATGTTTTGGTGTTGAGAAAAGAAAACAAGAGGAAAAGGCGTAGCTCTATTGGGCCAAATCACACCGACAGTCTGAGACCACAAAATTTGTTAGTAAATTCCATGCGAATATATAGTATCCACATTCTATAGTAAGTTTTAATTTCAAATTTTCAAATTAGATAAATAATGCTTAGGAATCATATCGTTCATGAAAAGCAAACGTCAATACGTCTCAATTTCTCATTTCAACCACCTTAGATCAGTGGTTGAACATGGAGAAATTTCACCCCCAAACCTTTCTGTATAATAGGAAGAGTAGAATGATTCTTTCTCCATGTCATAGTGCCCCTCAAATGCACTCTTGAAGCTAGGGCTTCTCAAGTTCTGGCTAAAGCTACTTTCAGGAGCTGGATAAGAAAGTCTCTTCTTAGCTAATGATCCACCTCGTTCCCTCTCTGGAGTTGATGGCCTTTGTCTTGGTGTACTCTGGGACCGCGCCTTAGCCTTTGCAGACTCTGTGGCAGCCATATAATTTGGCACCGTGACACCTGCATTTCCGTATCGAGACATTCCATTATTTGTGCAAAATGTGGAGGCCAAGCTAGGAGTGTTTGCTGCTGAGTAGTAGTATTTCTCTTCTTTCAGCTGGCACCGAGGGCTGGCTGAACGTGCTTGCAAAGGCTTTGTTTTGCAAGGAGAGGGTGTGGCTGGAAATTGGTTAAGAGGGAAATTGTGATGTTCTCTATGCATTGGAGAAGCAACACAGTGTGAAGTGGAAACTTGTTTGTGATTTTGACAATGGGATTTTCTGATTGTTGGAGAAGAGTAGTACTGAGGCTTGTAACTAGTATCAATTTCTACAGTCTTTATAGAATCTCTTTTATCAGTTGATGCCCTACTGTTGCTCTCCCATTGCTTTGTGGCCATCCACCTGTCAAGCCATTTTGTTCTCTCTTCTAGCTCCTTTTCATCTCCCGCAGATGAGTTCCTTCTAGATCTCCATATCTTTGAAGATGCGTTAAGATTATTAGATCATAATTACAGAACAAAAACATTCAGTGGCACCAACACTCATGAAATAATAATGACAAAAAAAAGCCAACCTGGTTAGAGAAAGCATAAGCAAGGGCCTTTTCACGTTTCAATGCAGCTTCCTTCTTGTTTTGCAACAATTCTTTGATCTCTTCGCTTGTCTGTGGTCTGTTGTCCCACTCATCTGTTATACAACTCATATCTCTGGACTGTGGCATAAAATCATTCAAACATAAAAGAGTATACCTCCAAATGAAAAAGATACAGAAACTTATTACGAAAAGAAAAAGTTCGTACTTACTTACCATGGACTTTCTACTACGAATATCTTGCAGATATCTAGACTCCCACAAGGCATTGGCTTCAGCAAACATAGACTTTCTGCACTCTTCATATGAAAGCCTTGGACGCTGTTTATCGAGCACTCGATCCTGTACTCGAACCAAAGATTGCATGCATTTTAGTGCCAACTTTGCTTGCCTTCTGATATTGTGTCCTCTCACTAAAGCTTGAAGCTTCACTAGCCCCTTCAGTGCACGCAATGCTCTCCTTGCCTTCACAGAATTCATGAAAAAGAGAGAGAGAGATAGTTATAGAATCTTTTAGCATTGACTAGTTAATGATTACTAATCCTCATGATTTATGTTCACTTACAAGGTAGCCTCTAAAAGCTGTCTGGATGACAATAGCAGCATAGTGTTCTCTAACACTAGCGTAATTGGAAGGCCTGTAACGAAGCCTAACGATCTCAACAGCTGCTTGAGCTGTTGCCACAGCAGCTTCTGCTGCTGCTGCAGTGGCCGCTGCAACCGCAACTGCGTGCCTTTGCTCTGCAACATCCAATGCAGGATTCACATGTATAGTTCTGGTAGCTTCTGCTGCTGTCTTTGCTTCATATTGTTGAACATGATTGATATTACTAGGCCTTCTAAAAAGCCATCTTCTTTTCTCCCTCTTCTGCACCAAGTAATAATTTAAAATTTATTGTAAATGGAAGAGAACACGCTAAACACAGAAAACTATAGATGCAGTTCTTAATTACTAGTACTACCTTTTCTTCCTCTTCCTGCTCACATTCCTCTTCTCTTCTTCTGCTACTCTTTTTCTCATAATCTTTGGCTGGAGACCTGAAGGCCTTTTTCACTATTGACAGCCACGAGGTAACGGTTTTCTTTCCCATGGTCAGGTACAAGAAAACTTTGCTGCATTCAAAGATAATAAGGAGATAGAGGAAATTAAGGGGTGTTTGTCCCAATTGATTCCCTCACAATTATGAATATTTGTGAAGGAGGGAAATGAATGAGAGAGAGAGACGATGATGTTCATTTGCCGCAGAATCTAACAGGGGTACGAGCTCCAATATATCTGCTAAGCGATAGGTGTTTTCTAGTGGCATGGGAGAAAACTAATGGGAAGAGTGTCAGATATTTGTCATGAACCCTGTAAAATAAACTAGCACATAATTGTGATATAGAAGATGACATGAGAAAGGGGAGACATGAGTGTTAAATGTTTTGCATAAGAATCCAAAGTCTCTTGAAAATTGCTAGGCCTTTTTGATTGATGAGAGCATATATGCTTTTATTTTCTCTTTTAAAACAACTGACCAAGCCCAATTGGCTTCACGTGTTATCAGCAGCGAAAGGAGCAGAGATCCATTAGAGGGATTACGTTATTATGTTTGAAAATTCCTCGAAAACCACCAAACACCTTAAGTACCATCTTGAACAGGGAATCCCCTTTCTGGGTAGAATAGAATGGGTGAGTTGGCTTCATTTCCCGGTAGACTGGTCAAACTCTTGCTTGGAGTTGTATCCTCTTGTCCTAGTTTCCCACATCACTTGTATCTTGTCAGAAATTCTATAAATTTAAAAACTAAAAAGTTAACTATTAAATTAATCTTTTGAACCCAATTCTGAAAGAGAAACCCCCAAATTAGATTTTGATCTCTTTGCATTTCTCAACAAGATACTTTCCGCTGAGAAGGAGACTTGTAAATTTCATTCGATTTGCTTAGAACTCGACATGATTAAATGGCCCTGGATGGAGCTTGCCTTTCTTGCTAGCTGGCAGGTTAGATTGGTCAAGCTGAAGAGTGAAGACCAATCTCATAAATTTCATTTTTCAGAAACAATATAATATCAAAACAATAATAAATTTAACAAAAGTGGAATCTCATATACATGGTTTATACTTCGATAGCCAAGTCAACCCTTGACCACAATTCAAGTTAGAAGATTGACTATTATTGTTAACATTTGTTGACCGTCGGACCAAGATCTAGCGTCTTACCGACAACATCCGTAAGCATTTCTTCTAAATTTTTATTAAAATATTATAATTATTCGATCATAATTAAAAATTATATAAAAAATAATTATTTGAAAGTATGAGTTTTACATAAATATTTTTATAAATTTACACCATATTGAATTATAATTAATTAATTAGATTGTGACTTGATGCGGTGTACGAAATAATTTTTTATTTTATATATATATATTAATATTTTTTAAAATTATATTCAAATTTTCAAAATTTATAACATCTATAAAATTTTATATCTAACTAAACTTGTCATAAAAAGTAAATTTAAAAAAATGGCATGTCATCTCTTTACACTATCTTTATTGGTAATAATATTTATACACTTAAAATTTATATCAAATAAAAATAAGTTACATATATATTATAGAATGATGAATTAAATAATAAAAAAGTATAGGCATACTTTCACTTTTATAATCTTATTTAATTTACTATACAAAATATGAAAAATATTAGGAGATGTGTGAAAAAAATAAATTGAAAAAATATTAATTTTCATAAGAACAAATTTGTAATAGTAATAAAATATATCTTGAAAAAAAAAAGATATAAACTGAAAAAATAAATTGCAATAGCAATATAAATCTAAAAAGCTGCAAATTGAAAAAGGAATTAATATAGCTAGTTACATTTATAGTCCTTAATGTGTAAAATAACTCTTAGATGACACTTGAGATTGAATAGATAATTTTTAAATTTATATTTTTAAAAAATTAAAAATTTAAAAATATAATAAGTGATAAAATTTAAATAAAAATTTTGCCTATTTTTTAAATATAAAATTGATAGTTAGAGTTGAGATAAATATCAGTCCTATTATTTAAAGATTTAATATGAAAGGCTATTTGAATTTTTAATATTTTACATAAATTTTGCATAGATAATTTTTGTTTGATACAAATTGAAATAAAATAATAGAGTAAGTTTTTTAAAATTTGGATAAACTTAATTTTTATAGTTTTAAAATATGGAAAAAGATTTTCATAATTAAATAATTTATAAAATAAAGGTATCTGGTAAAAATTAAAATAATTCGGATGATACCCATATTTCAAAATTTTTATTTTAAAAAACATATCTCTAGATTAATTTGATTTGCAACTGTAACTTAAATAATTTTGATATTTAAATAAATTCAATATTATCTAAAAAAAGTTATACTCTTTAACAAAAAAAAAAAAACTATCTTACATGTCGTTTAAAAAAGTCATCCAAATAAATATACATGTGACAATTTTTATTATATGTCTATTTATGTTGCAATATAATAATATATATTGCAAATAATACAATTAATATGCACATACTCTAGCAAATAATATGCTCCTAACAATATCCACGTACTGTAGCAATACCTACTCACATTGTAAAAAATAGGGTTAAATATAAAAATAGTCAATGTATTATGTATTTTTTGTTAGTTTGGTACTTAAAAAAATAAAATTTTTAGTTTGATACTTTAACTTTCATTCCGCTATCCACTTTAATACTTAAGACTAATATTATTAGTCAATTTATTAACGTGACATAAACATTCAATAAGATGTTGACACATGTTAAAAAGCTCAATTAATGCCACATTATCAATTGCTATTTTAATGTTAAAAGAAATTTTCTAAAAAAAATTAATAAAATCTAAAAAATTTAATTTTTTAAATATTGAAATAATTTAAAAAATTATTAAAAAAATTAAATATTTAAAAAATTATGAAAACTTAAAAAATTCAAAAAATCTTAAAATTATAAAAAATCCAAAAAATTTTGAAATTTTCAAAAAAAAATAAAAATTTAAATAAAAATAAATATTCTTAAAATTAAAAAATATATATTCATAAAAACTTAAAATGTTTAAAATAAAAAACTAATTTTTTTTGGAAAATATATAAAATTTTAAAAAAATTTGTAAATTTTTTTTATAATTATGAAAATTTTTCTTTTTTTTTTTAATCTTGAAATTTTAATTTTTACATATTTTTTGAATATTTTATATTTTTTAAATTTTTTGAATTTTTATTAAAATTTTAATTATTCAAAATTTATAATTTTTATAATTTTAATAATATTTAATGATTTTTTTTAAATTTTAGAATTTTCAAAAAAAAATTTTTTTTTGAATTTTATATATTTTAAAAAATATATATTTTTTAATTGTCAAAATTTTTAAAAAAATTTAGATTTTTTATTTTCAATTTTTAAGTTTTTGTGAATCTTTTTTTTGAAATTTAAGAACATTTTGTTTTTATTAATTTTTTTTATTTTTTATTAAATTTTTGAGATTTTTTGAATTTTTTAAGTTTTCATTTTTTTAATTTTTATAATTTCTAAAAATATTTAATTTTTTTTAATTTTTTATATTTTCTTAAAAATATTTAAAATTTTATAACTTTTTAAAAAATGTTTGAAATTTTCTTTTAATATTAATGTAACAATTGGTAACATGACATTGATTATATTTTTTGATATATATCAATATTTTATTAAATATTCATGCTACATTAATAACTTGATTAATGACATTAGTTTAAAATATCAAAATAAATCACAAAATGAAAGTTGAATACTAAATTGATAGTTTTATTTTTTTAGATACCAAATTGATAAAAAATATATAATATAAAAATTATTTTTATATTTAATCCTAATGGAGCATAGATGCATCATTTTTCTTTCACTTACTCCTAAACTGTATAATCTTCACTCTTATTCTTTATTTCTTTTATATAAATTAACTTAAACATCATAAGGCATTTCGAAATCTTATATCCAATTCCTCCTAGCTTTTCTCTGTCCCAAATAACCTTCCAACAAAACACCAAGCATCCCTTCCCAAAACAACGTCAACAAACATGATACTCACAGATGCTAAATCTTCTACAGGGTGACCAATCTCATAATTGATGTTGGCGATTTTTAATCTTTCACTGTTGGTATTTCCAATAGTATTTTGTTTGTTTTGGTAGCAGGGCCTGATTAAAGGCAGGTACTCTAGTGTCAGGTCTAGTCGAAAGTCCCCACATGTTCTGTCCTTTGACGTACTTAGTCCCAATCGCATGCTTTGCTCAACTAGATTTGAATCCAGTCCCAGGGAATTGCAGGCAGCTTATTTAGTTAGATGCATTGACTCGTTCAAAATCGATTCCATTTTGAAGAATGGTTAAAACGAGCGGCCATCTCTGTTGGATGTCAATTCGGTGAGACTCTTAAAAGTTTGCTAACTGGTTGAGCTTTAAAGCTACCAATGACAAGACCTTTTTCTAAATTCTAATTCATATATAAAAATGATAATTATTTTTTTATCCGTGAATATGTTATTAAAATTGATATTTAAAAATTATAAATTTAAAAAAATTTAAATTAATAAAATTTTTTTATTAAATATATAATAGTATAAAAAAATTTTAAAGATAGATTAAACATTTTTAAAAAATTCATATATGAAAGTAATTTTACCTTCGAAATTTTTCTCTAAACACAATCGTAACGATTTAGTAAAAGAGATTTGGGGTGAAAATAAAGATATAAATGATACATTAGTACTCGTAAGTTATTCAAGTTCGATTAGAAGAAAATTTAAATTTAATTTGATTATTATCGAGTCGAATTCGAGTAGCTCGACTTATCGATCGAATTAAATTTGAGTATTTTTATATTCGATTCGAGTAATTCGCGAGTTTAATCGAGTTTTTATATTTAAATATATTTTTATTATTTTAATTAATAAATATTTTAAATCCGAGTTTGAGTTTGAACATGAATAATCAAATTTTTATTGAGTATATAAATCGAGTTTATTTTTATATATTAATTAAATTTAATCGAACGAATTTGAGTAACTCAAATTCGATCACAAAT